ACTGAACATCATGTAAAGCACTTTGATCAAGTTCTATAGTGCCAAATAAGTATAGGCCTTTTACCATTTATAAACAAAGACATATTTATTTTATCTGAAAGCATAATGTTTATATATTTTTACAATTTTGGTATAATTACTGCTTTATGTGGTTGCTTTGTCTGCTAAAGGCATGTTTTACATTCTCTATAATCCAGTTAACAATTAATAGATTCATTAATCAGTTAATAATTATTTCAATAATCGATTAATCATGATGAATCGCATTAATTGTTTCAGCCCAAATAATAATCATATACTAGATGCCTTTTCTTAAATATACACTTTGTTATGTCACAAATTTTCCCCATGTAATACCACTGTCTCCCCTCCTTGATTGTTCACCATGTTTTTATCTTCTATCATGAGATTTAGATCTAAGTTCAAACAATTATTCAGACAGCAGCTAAAATGGAAGTATGATTGGTTACCTCGGCTTGTGACACTGCCACATGCAGACACTGCCGCTCTAAGCAGTAATTGTTATAACTTCTTTTTTTCCCCCTCCATTACATCTGATGGAGCGTATCAAATAGCAAATTAATGAAATCAATATTGTATCTACGGTATATGTCCATCGATTTAGCACACTCCACCCTCTTCCATTATTAAAGGCACATCTGAGTCTGCAATCATGACACTTTATGAAGATATCGGGGAAGAGATGAGAGCTGTAATTTATCCCAGAAGAAGAAAGTACTAAGCTGAATACAAATACAAGAACTGCAAGTGAAGGTGATCGAATGGAACAGAGTGAGAGAGACCACAGACCTGCAGAACAGAGATTGAAGATCCTGGAGGAAGGTGTGAGGGAGATAAGGTGCAGATAAAGGAAGGAATTTAAATGAAGTACAGGGAAACATGTAAGAAGTAGATGTATCAGGATAAAGACCAGGATCTTGTAGATGAAAAGCGGTTTTTGCACCGTCTGGACAGGTATGGAATTTGCTTTAATAGTTTTCCTTTGCTGGCCTAAGTAGGAAAAACAGGAAAAAATGTATTGAAAGAAATTCTAACTAACCAAATGTATTTCTTTCTCTATTATCTGGAAGTTATAAACCCAAATTTCTGAAAATTGAAGTGTATTTTATATTCTTTGATGTTCCTCATGTTTGTTATTTTTCTACTTATTTTGTTTTTTGACAACTACCTATATTTTAGAGTCATTAGAAACCTAAAAATAAGAGCATAAAATATTAAAAAAAGAACAAGTTCAGCGTATGTTGGCCTCTCTGCTTTCTAGCCTAGGAGTAATGTTATAAAATTGGCCCATTTGAATTTATTTTGTGTACCATTAATGTCAAAAAAGCATTGACACTCCTATTGCTGTATGGGTACCTCCAACCCAGAATCCACAGCGGCTAATGTCTCTTCCCCGGAACAAGGTGTTCCCTCTTATTTATATTATACCTCATGGTGAAAAGTTTTTTGAGTGATGGCTAAATGAGGCAGGAAATGCGGGGGGACCCTGTACGGAATAATGCTGATGGTGTTTCGGTCAGCAAGGGTGAAAAAAGCAAATGTTTCTAATCATAGGACCATGCATGAATCAACTTCTTTTCTTCTCTTGTTTTCCATGAGATATAGACAAAAAAAAGAAGAAAATACAATACAAACTTCTCTTACTTCAAAATATGTGTGGTTTGGACCACAAATTAAGATATCATTGCATTTCTCAGTTAAAGTAGGGTGGGTAGACCCAGATTTCTCTGAAGGGAGTTTATAAAAAGCATAGGATGATCTTAAGTTCCTCAGAATAACCAGAAGGGAGTCATTCTACAGAGGGATGTGTATTATACCTGGTACCTTTAGAACTAGATCATTAATAAGTGAAAGGCTGGAAGCAAAGGTATTTAATATGAAAAACTGTGCTTTAAATAACTGTATTGATCCTTGGATTACCCATCTCTGGCTTGATACATCTATTATTTTTCAAAAGAACTGATTTATGTCTTCGAGGTGCAATCATTTATTTTTTCACTATTTTAAGCTACCAAGATACATTTCTGGTAAAAAGAATACATTTAGATGTTCACTCCAGACAAAAAATGATCTGGTTTCTCCCTATAGACAGAGATGGATTTCTTCCAATTACATCATTAAAAATATCTACAAATTGCCCTCTGTTATGGGTTTTAAGGTGATATCAAAATCAGTAAATTCTATGCAAACAAGCTGTTTTTTTAAGTCCAAAAAACTGTATCTCATAATGTAGCTTAATTATCTGATAATGAGATACTTTATTATTATTTTGACTTAGCTATCTCATTATTATGACTTCAAAATGATGACGTTTGTATACCATTATTATGAGATATTATCTCTAAATATATATAGTATCTCATAATATTGAGACTGCTAAGCCATAATTATGAGCTTCTACATCATTATTTTAACTTGGCTATCTCCTAATCAAGTAATCCTCTGGAATGCAAACAACTTTTAAATTACATATAATTGATTTTTTTAGGTTAAAAATAGTTTACATCTGCTTATACCGACCTAGTCGGTATAATCACATGCAGTAGTGTTGCACTGTGCTTGCCTTCTATAAGAGGGCACCAATGTTCAACCTTAAGCAGAGACATTGAGGTTGGTGTAAGAGAAAAATGTATGCCAGAACAGAATTATGAAATGATAGAAAGCCAATCCAGTGCAGGAGTTTTTGTGAGTATAAACACTCAAATATCTCCTTAAGCTATCAGCTAAATAAAGCCTATTCAGGCATGTTGCATAGAAAAGCAGCATCAAATTCTCAACCAAAACTATGAAGGATGAGGATGTGAAGGGCACCATGTAAAGCATTCGTAACAAGATAATAAAAAAGTCATGACACTGAGTAATCCCTACTAAATGTGATGACTTTCATTAGACGTAAACAACTTTTATTTTTTTTATTTTGTATACACAAAAGGTTTCCAAAACAAAATTTCCTTTAGTACAGTTTTACAGACAGTAAATGAACAATTATTTTATGCTTTTCATGGAGCCAAGTTTAACACTCAACCATAGCCACCTGTTTAAGCACAGTTCCAACAGTGCAATGTGCGTCTCCCACTGATCATTGTTACCGTCTACATAATTCACACTAGGTAACAAGTAGTCTGACCTAATGTTTGAATGACATAACCTGTCTTTAATGATGGTTCTAAGACAGATTATGTCTTTAAATTATAAATTTGCATCTCTGTTTATGAAGGATTATAAGAGTTTCCCATACTTTATTCTATTTATTGTTTTTTTTTAATTCAGGAACCTAAAAGCTTCCTATTTTGCTATATTTTATCAATATATACGTGTCAGGATCTTGGCACTGATGTCTGGTCTGATTACTCTTTTCACACATCTTCTCAGCTCCGCCCAGTTCCCCCTGCATTAGTCTCTATTTGCCCAGCCTTCAGACCAGACAACAGTGCCAGATTATTTTCGAGCCGTTGGTGGGAACTTGATTAAGAAGAAGTTGATTTAAGCTTAAATCTGTATCAGCACATCAAAGCTTTACTAAACAAACTAAATTGGCCACAAAATCTTGATTGTCTGCTGATCTTGGAGGTGATTTGATTACATGTAATTCTATGTATATGGCTTCTACTAGCAAATACTACGATGCAGACAAAAAAAAGAAAAAAAAAGAAAAACAAACAAGAGGACACTGGAGTCAAACTGTCCAGCTCCACCAATGAAAAATGGAAAAAATTGCAATTATTGGTAAATTAAACAAAAGTTCAAGTTCATTCCAACAGGATCCACTACAGGATATAAAGGACAGGATATTATGGAAAAATAAGTTGGATGAGAGTTGTTGTTGACCACAGTTCCAATGAAGTGTGGGTCTGACCACTGAAGCGGCTTCAGCTGGGTCAGTGTTTCACATCGTAATGTGGAAAAAGACACTGGGTGGCTGGAATGACAGAATGTGCTAATATGAGGGAATCGGATATAAAAGTGGTGCTTGCAGGCTTTAGATCACTGGTAAAAAAGGGCTCTTACATCAAAAGATGAAAGCTGCTGTCAGTCACACTTCTAAGGGAAGATTGTAAAGACCTAAAATGTTGGGAAGATGGTTTTGATTTGAATTTGAATTACTCCAATTCTCTTCAATCTTGAGGCTGCAGTGGACCGTGTAGCTGAAAGCCCACAGTAGATATTTTCAAACATTTTTTTTTCTCTCCATATCAGCCCTGACAGCACATCAGGATCTTGGCAGGCAATGTGACCGACTTTGATGATCTGCTGAAAAGTCATCCTAAAACAATACCTAGGGTCATATAGCAAAGTCCATTCCATTTCCTCTGACCTCATGTAGATTTCCTATTCATGTGCTCATCCTGTGGCCCTATTCTTACCCGTCCCACCCATTACTAAATATTTCCACTGCACTTTGTTGCAGCTCTTTTTCTTTTAATGACACAACCTCTTGTTGATCCCAGCACCTTTTAGAAATGCCTTATTGGTCCAAACAGTTGCATGTTTCAAGTGCTGAACAGAAAACCAGCAGTTCTTTTCTTACGTGTACAGTCGTGATGTGTTGCAAATTTGTTTCATGTTTAAATGAACTGTTACAAGTAAAGTACATTTCTTTTTCAAAATCTGCTATGTTGTAACGTTATCAGATCAAAGATATTTACAAGGTGAAGTCCAGGCTTGCAGACGTCGAAATTTAATAGAGATAAAAAACAATACTGAAAGCCTTCCCTCCCACTTACGTCAAATAATTTGATGACATCCCCTGCTGCTCACATTCCTCTGCTTGATAAATTGTATACTTTCTTTTTCACTCCAAAACACCATCACAGAAATCTTTGCATTATGCTCACTGCGGGGTCCTAATCTGTTTTACCACCCTGCATCGCACAATTAAGACGTAGCGACAGAGGAATGATAAAGTTGCTGATGAGTCATTGTTGCTACAAAGGCATCAGTATGAAAGAGAACATTAGGAAATTGTGGGAAATACATACTATAGGGCACGCATTCGTACTGGACTTCCAGGTATTTGTATGTTCCTGGGCATGGGTCGGGAAAGACATCTGGTCCGGCCACCACAGCACACTGTGTCCTGTTGTTACACCTGCAGAAATCACAGAAAATGTAATTATTAAAAAGTAAAACCAACAGTAATGAGCTGCACAAATAGATCATAGTGAAAATCCCAAATAGTAAAATTGCCCTTTCTATGATATAGTTCCTGAGAGCCCGTTGCATGCTCTAAATCGTAAGGATTTCTCTAACAACACTAACTTTAACGAAAATACTGGGATTTAAAAGACAAACCAGATGATTGATCCCCTCCTGCAATTACTGTGCATCTGTCTGATTAGAAAGTCATTTAAAAAATAAGAAAAACACTTTGTCAAAATGTCAAAACACAATAAACCCAGACTTACACAGCTATTTGTTTTAGACAGAAGAATCTGAACTCTTATTGAGTTGGTGTGAGAAAATGGTAAACTTAAGTTCTTGCAAAGTAAAAGCTTAGAAAAAACATGCATTTTTAATGTGCAAAGTTCAAATTTCATAACCCTGCACCTTTGTACAAACTATATATTATTTTAGGAAGTAGAATAAAAACAGTGACACTACTACAACAAATACTACTGACAATGATAATAAAAAAAATAATACAAACATAGATGAGATGTTTGTGTCTTTAAACTGTATAATACAGTCAGGAAGGAGTGTTTGGATGCACTAGTTGGTAGGTTTTATTTTAAGCTTTTAATGTAATTTTTTTGCCCAGGGTACGTTGAATAGGAGAGATAACACAATAACTAAACTGTTTTTATTTTAAGTAGCAACAAACATCTGAAGTATTTCATTAAGTGTAGTAATAAGGTGTAAGGTTTGGAAATAGCCTTTAAAAAACAACTAGAACAATGTTAGATTTTTAAATACAGGCATTGTGCTTAAACAAACAACTGTAGGATTTAGCTCAATTTGCCTTTTTTTTTTAAAGGAATTTGTTTTCTGAAACATAAAACAGGATGAAATTAATCTTAAAAAAAAAAAAAAAAAAAAATATATATATATATATATATATATATATATATATATATATATATATATATATATATATATAGTGTTGAAACTCATGGGTATACCAACCAGACCCTGCACAGGTTGGAGTATTATTACCACATGATGGATGGTTGTTATGGTAGTGGGAGGTGGTTGAGGGGTGATTTTCTGAGGAAGGGTATAGACACAATCAACTGACTTCAAAATTATCTCCAGCCTGAAATGAGGGTCTCCATTAAAGAACACAATTATGGTGCCTGTGGTGTTCTCTTTTGCCATTTTGTATTTGGCAGTCATCAATCAGAAGCTCCACTTCATATGCAAAGAGAGGACTTCCCTGTATAACAGCAGCAGCATTTATTTCATCACTTTGGAAAATAAGAATAATAAAAAAAAAAACATATCAATGATTAATATACTCAATGGTCTAATTTCGTGATTAGAGTAAAACATATATTTACACACATATGAATATATTTAAAGCATTTCTTTCTGTCAAATCGTATGATTATGGCCTTTAGGTAACAAAAATGCAATATTACATGACACTAACTACAGTAAGCAGGAATTAAATTAAGAAATGTTAGAGCCCACAAATAAAAGTGGAAAATTGTTGACTTAACAGTTGTCTAACTAGCAGGCCTACTGTACAATAGGCTAATTAAAAGATCAGAGTGTTACTTCTAAGCATAGTTATTAGAAGTTGAGTTGAGGACAAATGTGGAGGGACACATTGTAGAATCAACAAAAAATAGTAGCTGGCTACTTCTGGCTTTGGACTTAAAACACTGCAAACAGCAGAGAATATGATACCCTGAATAACTAAAAATTTCACACTGGACCACAAGCATCCTGGATATTGTGCCTGCTATGTTTTTGTAATCTGAAAAAAAATACTCATTAGACCAGTGATTAACAGCCTTGTTCATTTTTTACCTTGGTTCTGCCAAGAAGCTTCTTAACATAATCAATACATTTGTGTCCTTTCCTGAATAAAATTGGCTTTGGTTTACATTTTTTTTTCTAGGTTGCCGTTATTGGTGGATTCAATCTGTGCCTTAAGAGAGGGATTCTAAATGTGTTGGTGTCCTTAACTAATGTTTGATGGAATGGGGAATCGACAGAGGAAATCCCAGATAAAACATTCAAAAAATAGGCCTCCTCCAATGGGGGACAGGACTTCACTTTAAAGGGAGTCAGATGGTTCAGACATCTAATCTTAATGTATCCTGAGCACCTCTCTTTGCAGGTTGTCTACAGGACCCAGAACTTGCTGAAGGGAATATACATCCAATGTGGTCTTCGTATCAATGAGTTAGAGGAAGTTCCTGCTAGACCCTTGGCACCTGACCTGATGAATCGATGGACAGGGAGAGTTTTCTCTGTTTCATGCCTTTGAGTCCTTTTTTCTTCACCTAACATTTAAATAATATGCTTGAATATGTAACTTGGCGTACCGTAGCCTTTGTGTCTTTAATCCACTGTAGTGTATTGAATTTGAAAGTTAACCAATTGCTGTTATTTCTGCTCTTTCTTCTACTGTATGCTTGTGTATATATATATATATATATATATATTGGTGTATGTGTGTGTGTATAGCACTGTAAACTTAGTTTGGTCTTATTTTTGGGGCAGCTCAGTGGAACAGTGGGTAACACTGCTGCCTTGCAGCAAGACGTTTCTGGGTTCGATTCCTGGCCTAGAGTCTTTCTGTATGTAGTTTGCATGTTCTCCCTGAGCATGCGTGGGTTCTCTTTGGGTACTCCGGCAGCCTCCCACAGTCCAAAAACATGACTGTTAGGTTAATTGGCTTCTCTAAAGTCCCCTTAGGTGTGCGTGTGTGAATGGTTGTTTGTCTCTGTTTTGTCCTGTGATGGACTGGCAACCTGTCCAGGGTGTACCCCGCATCTCGTCCATTAACAGCTGGAGATAGGCACCAGCACCCCTCGAGAACCCAATTGGGATTAAGCGTGTTGGAAAATGGATGGATGGTCTTATTTTTTGTATATTCAAAGTTTAAAAGGAACTAAAACCAACTCTAAGGCATTAAGTAAAAACTTCACAAATATTACTAAGCACTGTTAATTGTTTGATTTATTTGAGTTTCTTTTTAAAGTGAAATGGCAGGAATACATCTGCTTTTCAACGATTTTCTAAATTATTAAAAAGCTTCTGCAAAAAATTGTGCAAAGTCTGGTCATGTGGCTTCTTTGATCTATGAAAGGTTAACAATCACAGACTGCAGCACATTCAGGATAGCAGCACGTTAAATCTATGTTCATTTACAATCCCCATTATCCTACAATATACAAACAGTATTTAGACTGTTCACAGTCTAAGTCCTGTGAAGGTCAAGGCAGGGTCTGACATCATGATTCATATGCCACAATTAAAGGATTCCCTACACCTTAATTAACATTGATTGGCTGCTGACTAATCAATGGAAGCAGTGAGGGACAGGCAAAAAAGGGACCTATCTCATTTCAGGCCTGAGCCGGTAATGAGATATGGTCCGCTGCCTTTCTCCCATGTGAGTTTTATGGGTTCATGAACCCAACCAGTCATCCGTCTCCGTCGCTCAGTCACTACAGTCATTTCTTGCCTACCACGAGTTAATGCAAAGGCAGTAAATGACAATCAACTAAATAAGAAGGTCAAGCTGATGAAGCTGAAAAACAACTCTCACGGAAGGCTATGGGTCCCCCTATGAGCCCATTAGTGTTTGGAACTGGGAGGTTTGTTACCAGTAGGTGAGGCAAGCAACAGTTTTAAATGAAGACAAAAACCCTGAGACAAGAGATAAATAAATACACATAAACAACAAACAATTCATCTTTTTTGTTGATTCATTTAGCCCACCTTCACTCATTTAGATGGCAACATAGATTCAACTTCACATACCTCTGGGGGTTAAGGCTATGAACAAATCTGGAGTTTTAATCACACGCCTTATCAATTTAACATCCTCTTGGGGGATTAAACATCAGAATGTTTATTTAACAAGAACTCTAAACTTAAGCTGAGCCAATCGTGACCCATTTTCAGAAAGAAAAAAAAAATACTCAATGTCCATTTTTTACCTCAGCATGCACATTAAAAGTCTCAGATGCTGTTTGCTTAAATACTATCTGAACAGATATTTAAAGTGGTTTAAAAAAGTAGAGTATAACATTTGAAAAGTATAACATTTGTTAAAGAAAGGAAGGAAGGAAGGAAGGAAGGGATTATATTTAACACTCATCTGCAGATATGACAGTTAAAGTTCACACATCTTCAGGCTGCATAGAGACCTTGATATTATAGAAAAGATTAATTAATTTAGACAGAAAACCATTGAAATAAAAATGGGATTGGAGGATTATAGCATTACACTTGGTTGTTATAGACTAATTTAAACTAACAGGAAGGTGGGACTCATGCAACTTGGAAAGTAGAAGGAGTTAATTCTGAGTTAGGTCCTAATGGTCAAATTACCTTGGTGATTTTTCTAAACAATATGTACAAAATTAAACTGAAAAGAAAAGCAAAGCAAGCTGTAAATCTGCATTAATGTATGCCAAACAAATTCTTTAATCAAATAACCCTGGCATATCCCATCAGATTGGGATTGTGTCTATTCTTAGTATACAGTATCACAACCTTTCCTTTCATTCCACAATCTTTTATATAAAAAAAAAAATAAATTATGACTTTTTTATTTAAAGTTCATGAAGTGCAAGACTTGAAATAGAATTGGATTACACCGAAGATAACACATGACCAGCATCATCTAACACCTGTGTGATGTGGGAGTAGTCTTTGATATGCTACTTCCAATGTAGTTCTAAGGTAGGTATACCTTAAGGAATTATTTTGTATTTTGTAGCATCTTTTGTACAAAGATAAGTCTTTATTTTATTTACCTTATGTTTTAACAGACACCTGTCTTGTTTGCCAACTGCTATTAGATTGAATGAAAATCACTTTAACGTAAATCTGTTAGAGTTGTGTAAGTTTTTGCATCACTGTAGTCGTTATTTATTTGATCAAATTTAGAATCTGTTCCATACGGTG